AAGTGAGTCGCTTTGTGTGAGATGGGCAGCTATATGAATTGAATGAATGAATGAATGAATGAATGAATGAATGCATGCATGCTTAAAAGAATTATTTAACAAGTATGCCAGCTGTAGAAGTGTGTTGCTGTTTTGTTTAAGGAATTAATTAGCGGCTAAAGAAAGCTGAAAGACCACTCGTCTGCGGACTTGGTTTACAGCTGTTTATCTTGGGATAACTGAGCATATAAACAGTCACAAGATGAATATGCCTCATTTAAATTAGTTGCAGGAGAGTTTGACTGAAACCCTGTCATGCTCGTTGCTCCTCTGTTCTTTGTTTACTTCAAAACCTAAATCTTCAGTATCCCCTGAAGAATTGATACACGCAAACTAAGTTATGTGAAAGTCAGCCTGATAGAAGTTGAAGCTGTGCTTTGTTTATCCTTCTACGTTACACTGAACAAGCGATGAATCAGAACGGCATACCAGGTGGATGATCCCCTTCCTGTTCTGGTTTGTTTTGCTAGAATAAAGGTGAACACGTTTTATGTGGAACTATTTTTACAACCCAATTAGAAATATTTGTTTCAGAAAGTATTGGAATCTGAACATATAACAAGAGGGAGAAAGGGTTTACATTATAACTCCACCACCCAAAACATGTAATTTATTGCTACTTTTTTTTTTTGCTTTGCATTTTTTTTTGCAGAACGTAAATGTTTCGCATAAGTGGTACTCAGAGCTTAACCCATCCAGCTTACGTAGAACCTTCACAATTAAACTTTAAACAGATTTGTTCTGCTTCATTTGCATTTTTAATCTGCTTTATACCGAATCTTCTCTGGGAGGATTATGTTTATAAACGTTGTTTAAGCATAAATGCCGTTGCTAGCTTTTGTCTGTTTTCTTCTAGGATTGCCTGGATCGATCTTTTCGCGCAAAAGTGTACAGCTGCCCAGCGTGCCGCTACGATCTTGGCAAAACCTATACAATGGAAGTGAATCAACCACTGCAGGATCTTTTAAATCAGCTCTTCCCAGGTTACGGCAACGGACGGTGATTCTGAAAAGCACTTCTAATTTCCGTTTGATTTTTGTTATGTTTTTGTCCTGCCCCTTCAAAAAACTGTTGTGATTTTGGTGGGGTTTTATTTAAATAAATACCTTTCAGAAAAACTTCTGTCTCCGTTCCCCCACCCCAAGCCCCAGAAAACTAAGGTTCAGGAACTTGCTTATATATATTTTTGGTAGCATTTCCATTGTCAGCTAACATAAATATTGATGAGAGCATAGGTTGAAGGGAGCCTTAAATTGCTTGTTATCACGTGCTACTAAATTGGACGGAATTTCAGTTTGCAAAGGGGTGAAGCATTCTCTCATGAAACAGAAATCCTGTATGTAGCTTGGTTGCTAGAACAATCTTCTGAAGCATATGGATTGGGGCCATAAGTTTGAAGTGTTTTAATTGTTTTAAGGCAGCATTTTTGGTGCTTGTGTGTAATGATGCTTTGGCTTGGGCGTCCTCCCTGGGTTGTGTTGAGGCCCCGTTGTCCCTGGTTTTATGTGTGTGTATTTTTTTAGAAAACAAAAGCTCTTCCTTATCGACAGCTTGCCTTAAGAGCCTTTATGCAAAATGGGTACCTCTGCCTTTGCATTTACCAGCCAGGTGCTGCTTCCTACTTTTTGTGATGCCATTTGGGAACATAGAAAAGCCATTTGGAAGGGCCTTTTAATGGCCCTCTTTACTGATAGATAAGCCTGATCTCTGGGCCATTAAAAATAGACTGTACTCCAAGCTGCCAGAAAATTTTTGTTCTTGGAATTATAAAATGTAATATTACCATTCTATATCATTAGTTTTAGATAATCATCTTGCAGTCCGCATGTGTGTTTTTTCCTGCTAATTCTGAATCTTCTAGTTTGGCTTAGAATGGAAAACTAGATATGTAACTAGTTTTTAAATGGAAAATCTTGACTATATATTCAATGGTCAGTTGGTTCTCACCTCATCAGTTCCAAAACTCTACAGTGAATACCTCAGCATAAAAAAAAAAACAGGGTTGCTAATAAATCACCCTTCACATTGAACAGACTGGAACAAATGTACTTGTTTTTTGCCTCTTTATAAATATATAATTATGTTCAGAAAAAGTAACTTTTTTATCTTTCTGAATTATGCCAATTTTGTACAAACAGAAGTTCTCAAAATAAAATACATTTCATATCAAAAGGAGCATGTGCCTTTTTAAATGCTGAAATAGTTTTAAGTGAATTGGTTATCCTGTTCTTATCAGTACACTGCATAAATCTAGTGGCTGGGATATGGGCAAAGAAGGTCCGATGCCGCAAAGACAGGGAGGCCTGGCGCAATATGGTTCATGGGGTCACGAAGCGTCGGACACGACTGAACGACTGAACAACAAAATAATGGCTTGCAAGGTAATCTTTAGATTAGATATGCTAGTTTACAGAGAATAGTATGACCATGCTTGCAGTAAACTGGGGTTTGGTTGTGCTTGTGGCATAAAGGCCAAATTGTGTCCAAACTGGCCAGTACTGTCCTTACCATTAGCAGGGAATGCAGCCTGTCATTGGTATGCAACAAAGGCTGGGAACATAGTACAGGTCATCCTCATTTAGCGACCACAGTTGGGAGTGGCAACTCCATCACTAAGTGCCATGGTCACTAAGCAAAACATCACGTGACCGCGACAGCTTATGACCCCATTTCCCCTTTGGTTGTTAGGCAGAACATCACATGGTCGCAACTTACGATTTTACTTCCCCCTTCTCTATTAACTCTGCTTGTTGCAAGCCAGTTTCCGACACAAATGGTGATTGCAGGACACTGCAACGGTCATAAATGTGTGCTGGTTGCGAAGCACCTGGATGGTGATCACGTGACTGCGGGACACTGCAATGGTCATGAATGCAAGGATTGGTCGCAAAGGTTTTTTTTTTTTAACACCATTGTAACTTTGAACAGTTGTTAACAACAAGGCAGGTGGTAAGCGACCACTACCTGTATAGGCCTCCTATCCTGTTCCAGGCTGAGCAAGCACATTTGATTGATTTACAAGTGATTTACTGACAAGGCAGGCTGAGAGAACGCAAGACCCCAGAATAGACAGGAAACAAGACTTTCCCTGGTAGGTGGGTGATTAGAGACCTCAGTGAATGGACGACAACTTCAGAGAAGTAAGTGTAGCCTAGAGCTGAACATGAGAGACGTTTGTCAGCCAGTTGGAATCGGAGAGCCGAGAGTCACGGAGCAGAGCAGGAAGCAAGGACGCAAGCACAGATCCAAGACACGCAAGTTGTTCCCTAAGAAGGGTCAGCCACTGGCAGCTGTTCTTAAAACAGGTCAGATGCAGGTATGACTCAGTTATGGGCTCTGGTATCTTTGCTCCTTGAAAAGCCAAGCAGATCTCCTTTGCTAGGTTTTCTGAATCTACTGACAATCACTGGATCAGGTTCCTCATCACCTGAGTCCTCTTTCACTTGCTCCTGCTGATTACCCACTGAACCAGGCTCCGGTGGTTGACAGACTGCTGGCAACTGGATGGTTCTGGCTTTGAGGAGTCCATAACACCCTCTTTCTTAGGGCAAGCCTGTGTGTTAGGCTCCAGGGAACGATGTTACTGGAAGAACCAGTGCTGAGCTGGGGAAAATTGAGGCAATGTGCTGAATGAATGCTATCCATAGGAAAAATATTTTGTTAAGGTGATATGAATGGATTGGAGAGGATGAGAAGAGAGTACGTGTCATAGTATGTGGGAATGGCCTGGGAGAGAGGAGGAACAGCCCCAGCCTAGACAACGGTCCGATAAACGAAATTTGAGTCCGAAGGAGGAGGGGTAGCAGAAGCGTCTCAGAAGGGGCCCTTCCTAGTTTTCGGGAGTGTGAAAGGGAGGGACACGGGAGGGGTACTTCCAGACTTGCAAGACTCTGTTCATGCAACCTTACAATAAAGACAGAACTAGCACTCCTGGTGGTGCTTCCTGTCTGGACTACCTCACAAGGCTAACGGTACAGTCAATGACTGGATCATTTGGAGACCCAGGAAGGAGTGAGAATGGTGATTATTTGGTGAATATTGGCCTAGAAAATATGTTTTCAATACATGGTCCAGGACATAGTCTAGTCCTACATAAAAGCATTAGTGATTCAATTTTTTGGCAAAAGATTGAAAAAATTAGAGAATGGTAAGACATTCTGAATGTGAGACAGACCTTTAATGTCGGGAGTGATCTTGGGAAAAGATGGACATAGAAAGTAATGAGAGTGAAAGTGGAATCACTGCAGAAAGGGAAAATATGGGTCCTATATAAAAGACAGGTTTGAGGGCAGATTAATGTCCCAACAGAACAAGTGGGAAGTGGATGTAAGAAAAAGGATGGGGAGGCTGGATCAGAGTGAAAAGATGCATGTGACAAAGTGTCAGACAAGCGTGTACAGTTATGCTAATGGGAAATGTGAAAAAGATGCTTAAAAGAATGATGAAGTGAAAAGGGCTATGCATGAGGGAGAACGTATATAGGAAAAATAAGGACTGATGCTGTATAATATGTACACAGAGAAAAGGATAATCCAACAGATAAAGAAACGGTAAGGATTAAAACAGGCAGAGAAAACTGATTTTGCTGGAAATAAAAACATTGTTTTGGAAGAGGGTTAATTAAACAAGGAGCCTCCAGCAGAGTGAATGAAACTGAACATAACAGTGATGAAATTATTTGCAATGAAATTGAAGTGAGAGAATGCTAGAAGATATGTCTATTTTAGAGAGTTACACACAGGGAAGTATCAGTAGAACTGAACTGAAAGCTATAAATGTTATTGTCCAAGAACTATAATTATAAAAATATTGTCCAAAATGACAAAAGGAAGCCATAAATGTCATGGGGATGTTGAAAAATGGCAAAGCTGTAACTGGTGTTACTGGAGAAATGTGGAAATACGGAACTAGTTCGCTTATACAGAAGGCTTTTTAAACGGTTATGAAAATTGCCCACGCTCAACAATCGGAAGAATGCTGCTATTTTTCCCTTTGCAAAGAGAAATGTATCAAGAGTAAAGGCAAAAACTACAGAGTGGATTAGTTTCCTAAGCGTGGCTGGCAACTGTTTGCCAGAACCCTGCTGGAAAGGATTCAAGAGGTCACAATGTGCAAAGGGCAGGTTTAGGTCAGACAGAAATGCAGAACACCTTGCTCTTCAGCAGGTCACTGAGAAATTTATGAGTGTGAGAAGGAAATTTTATTGGTACTTGATTTAGAGAAAGTGTCAGATGGAGTGAATGGACTGGAATTACAGAATGTTCTGCGTGAATGGGGGGCTGAATGTGGCGATCCAGGATGGAAGTTGAGCGTGCCTCAGCATGGGATGTGCGTACGACCAAGCAGGGAGCAAAAGGTGGTTTATATTATAAAAGAATGTTTGTGGCAATGTGCGTGCATTTGGATAGGAACTGTCTATACTTTTGTATGTAGATGATACGGTATTGGTGGAAAACCCACTTCAGTTGGTGAATGTTAAACAGATTATATGATGTAATGAGCAGTAAAGATCTGAAAATCTTGGTATTGAAGACCTGGGGAGTTGTATTCCGCAAAGAAAATTGAGAGGAAAATGGTGTGTTATGCATAAGTCACAAAGAAACCAAAAATGAATTTGGGTATCTTGGTAAAATGTTGACTGAAGATGGAGACAGGGCTGGAGAATCCTTAAGACGCAGAAAAGTAGTGGAGAGCAAGCACCGCGAGGGAAGAAGAAGACCAAGAAAATCATGTGTGAATGGACTTGGTAAGATATTAAAAAAGACCTGAGAAGTTTAAAAAACAAAAGACTATGTACAATATGATATGTGTATAGTTGGGATAGAAGCAGGAATGGCTTGTAAAGACAGGAGAAATCTAGCAAACGGTGTTGGCGTAAATTTAGATATACATATTCCAATGTATTGTCGAAGGCGTTCATGGCTGGAATACGATGGCTCATGGGGGTCTTCCAGGCTGTGTGGCTGTGTTCTGGAAGTTTTGTTTCCTAACGTTTCGCCAGCATCTGTGACCGGCAACATACTAATCACCCCCAGCAGCCCCTCGTTAACAACTCAATAGAAGAAAAAACCCTGCCTAATCCCCAGGAAGATACACACATATTCTGACACCAAAACAAGCAGCCACTCGTTAACCCAAACCCCCCACCCCCCCA